GCGGAGAGTCCTCGGGCGCCGTTGCTGACAAGGGATCGCTCAAGCGGTGCCTGCCTCTCTGGCTCTCGACCCGCCGGCTGTGGAAAGCGCCTCTTCACACGCGCCGGCTGTGACCAGGTACCTGCCGTACCTCTCTACCGGCTTGCGCCACTCGCTGCAGGACATGGGCCTGCAGTCGTGCGAGGCGCTGTGGGCCGCGCTCGCCGACGGCACGCTCCGCTTCCAGCAGCGCACCTCGGGCGCGCAGGCCGAGGGCTCGATCCACAATTTGCTGCACGCCAAGAAGAAGGACTTCAGCTGAGCTAGTGACTCGCCGCCGCTGGGGCGGCGTAGGGAGCTCGCGCAGGGTCCGTTTTCCGCGCCGAGTAGGTGGCGTTTGGACAGCCGCCGTTCGCGGGGCGGCGCCGGGAGTGAGTTCTCTGAGCGGCCTTGCGCCACATGACGGCGCGCTCATTCATCATCGATCTTGCGAGTGTCGAGTTGGTGTTGCCGCGATGTTGTGCGCGTTGCCGTTGGGGAGTCGTCGTTGATGTGTGCCACGTCCTTGGCATTACAGACATACTGACGTAAATATCTATCGTGGGGCTCTCTAATTAAACTTTTTGATGAGACGATCTCGATAGGACGTCGGCTCTTGGAGTCTGACTCGTGGTAACGTGTGGAGCGTCTACCCTTCCGTACTACCCACCGCCACAAATTCGGCGCTACAGCGCGGATTCATCGCTCAATAGCGTAAAACGCTCCGCGCCCCCGTACGACGCCTTCCCCTACAGTGCAGCCTTCCCCCGGCATGTGCTCGCCCCTGTTTTCCCACGGCGACCATCCGTCGAGCGTACGCGCGCGCGGCGCCGCGGCTGGACGCTGTCTGCTGTGCACCATTAGACGCCACAAAAGCGTCACCTGTTTGGGCCTAGGTTTGGGCCGCTCTCCACGCTCGACCACAGCGCCGGGCACGCCTGGGTGAAGGGGGGGGGGTAGCTCGGCTAGTTGTCAGGAGAGCTCGGCGAGATCTCGGCGAGATCTCGGCGAGGTCTCGCCTCGCGGAGGCACTCCCCAAACAGCGCCGCGACCTCCTGCTCGTCCGACGGGC